TCTGAGAGGTCGAGGTTCAAACTTGTGCGATCTGGCGTGGAATGACCCGTATCTTAAAACGCTCGCACGGGTGTGGTAAAGCGACGTAGCGCTGACGCTTCTGGTTTCGAATCCGCAAACCTTACAATGTAGCGGTGCTGCAACTCCTAGGTCTGTTCATGTATATTTTCAAACGCTCATACGAGTACAGCAATGTGATGTAGCGGCATTGCTCACTTTTCTCATGCTACCACTTCTGGTTTCCAATCCGTAACTGTGATTCGAACACCAAAAAAGACTACATATCGCATGCTCGTTTCCCCGTTGGCAATTCCTCAGCTGTCTTTTGCCTTATAGCATGAGATTAATGAAGAAAAGATCAGTTTAAAATACTTGTGAAAGGGATACCAGCACGAGACTGTTAATCACAACCTCCACTTTACTGACCATGAGACTGACACGAATTTATTCTGGAATTGTTTTAGTAGTTTGGTTCTAACTGCTTACACTAACAGCACTGAGTCTCTATGGCATAAATTCAAAGAGGAGCATAAGTCATGGTATGGGACGGAAAGGGCACTACTGAATTTGTATGGAAAACAATGTACAGGGGCAGTGCGCTGTACCACCTCTGGTCCCAAATAGCGGCACACTATCCACCGCTCGCAAGTTCCGTTTGAAAATACGGGCTTTATCCACTAGCTCCTGATCGGTCTGCTTTATGATAATCCAATTTTTGGAAAGTTCCTCGTATAAGAAGCGCTAATGCAGCTTTCCTTTCTAGTAATCCGATCTGAGAGAGAAGCAAAATACGAATATAACATCAGTGTAAAGGCTCAGCTACACTCAAAACTCTTCTTGATCCCTGACCGGAACAAACCACCAACCTCTACCCGAAGTGCTGCATTACCTACCGCTGCACCTCACAACATTCAAGTCAGGTGCGGCTCGACAAACTGTTCTACACTCCTCAGCAACCCCTCCCCACTGATGCTACTACAAAAGATCGAACCCGCCCATAATATCTCACTATTGCCGCCGCTGCACAGCTCACTTCAAACTTGAGTAATTAAACATTTTTTGTATTGCTGGCGAGACGCCACCGTCTCGTTTACCTCATACTGCTTTTCCACGTTACTCAACAACCTACTGCTACTCTTTCGAAACCCCTCCTTAAACATATGTATGGAGCCGTCAGTCGACAAGAGCTCCGCAAAATTTAAAAATAAAGCAAATTTAAACAACAACAACAACAACAACGAATTTTATTATCATATATCTAGAACAGTTTTACCAAAAAGCAATATTGAAAATAGCTTAGAGACAACTTCAATAATTTGCACTTAAGCAAAGCTCTGATAAAACTAAACTTTAACTTCTCCAAATACAATTCAACAAAACCGTTTTTCCCAACCAATTTTTTTTTCTTGCAGTTAAACCTAAACTACTAAAACAATTCCAGAATAAATTCGTGACTGCTTTAATAGCTCTGCAAAAGCACTTCACAAATATCAACTGTTCATTCTGAAAGGCACTTGCGCCAGAAAGAGAAAAAGAGCAAGTAAAAAAAATTGAGAATTTGGTCACTGAAAAGAAGTGAAATGCACAAAGCCGAAAGGTCCTACATAGGACGAATTTCAGGAGAATATATGCTTTGTAAAAATATGGAAAAAATACACAAGGATACAAATTAAACAAGTTTTAACAAACCCAGATTTAAAGTGCTTTATAAATATTGCCGGATATAAGAACAAGACAAATGAACGTACACAAGCAAATAAACAGGAAAAGGATTACAACAATATTTATTTTATCACGTTACTTTAAACTCAGATAATTGCAAACCACCTCCTACCAGTTACTCTATGTCTACCGAATTAATTTAAAAACAACCAGAAGAACCAATTTTCCGTTCTTCGCTTAGAAAAAAAAAATATTTGAAACGAAAAGAATAAATTTATAAAAGATGTCGTAGATTCGTCAAAAAACAATAAGTTAAAAACTTACATAAGCACTAAATAAATGCATTTTTCTGCAGCAAGTGAAAGTGAGGGATATGTCAGGAAAACGATGTGAACAAAATGAAGCTATAATAAACAGACAAAACCTACTTACTACGTATCACCAGAAAGAAAAAAAAAGAATTAAAAAATAATCCATTTATCAGCTTAATTCCACAACTGCACAAGTTCAGTACTACCTTCTCCCAGCCTCCTAACTGCAAAATATTCCTTCTCCCTTCTCAAAAAAAGACAGCCTTTTCGTAAACTATACTACGCAGTGATGCAATTATAATAAATTGTAAAAGTGAGTATTAGTTATTGGTATTACTGTTATTATAATATCATTGATATAATAATAATAATAATAATAATAATAATAATAATAATGAATAATAATAATAATAATAATAATAATAATAATAATGATAATCCATAAAAGGAGTAAAGTTTAATTAAGTTTTTTTTGTTTCTCGTAAAATTGTAAAGAAAATCTTTAAGTGAAATGCCACAATCACATATACCAGAGATAAAAAGAAAAAGATTAGTGGTTTCAAGCTACCTGACGATGTTTCAAATAATCTGATTTTGAGAAGGGACCCAAGCTAAAGACCGGGAATGTTCGTTGATAATACTGAGTACCTTTCTGACGAGGTCTTCTGAAGACTGACCACCAATAACTGCTGAAAAAGAGTAATATTTTGATATCTGACTTACGACATCACTTCTCCTGTAGAGAAACCACCCTGGTATGCAAAAATCACAAACCTGTAAACAAGTCGCTGTAGTTCTGTTCAACTTTCTGCCAATACTGGAACTGATTCATAGCTTCTTCATCGGTTATTCCTCTGTCCCAATCCCTTGAACAGAAATCATGCAACGAAACCATGTTACTAGAGCAAAAAGAAGTACAACGGGAAACAAATTATAATACTAACATGATCTGATGATAGCTCTGAGGTTTCAAAAAGATTGCGATTGGGTATATATTTGCTGTTGTTTGTAAACGGCGAATAGCATTGCCACTTCTCAAGTCCAAGACACAGTGACGTCCCTGTAAACGGCTAGGTTCCAAAACGACAAATTCAGATATTTGAGAATAAAAGATTATAAAACAAAATTAAAATCTCTCTAAAAGAGGCGTGTTATTACGTTACTTACAGCGTTTGCAACATCCAAAATCGAACTGATACTTGTTCCATAAAGATTATTCATGTATTCCCCAGCTTCAATAAAACGGTTGTTTTTAACATCTTCTTGCATTTGCTCTTTTGAAATAAAATGATAATCACGACCATCCACCTCGTGTTCTTTCGGGGGACGGCTGGTGTCTGCAAAATATACCTCAGGTACTTGGGTACTTGTCATCATTTTCCAAAAAAATACTTCAGTATTACGAATAAAACAGCAAAGGTAAAGCCTCACGAGGTACGCAGCTGCTAAAGCGATTTCGATCTCTAACAACTAATTCATCGTTAATACGATCTTTAGTAGCGCCAAGTATGATAACAGGTCTGGGATAATTAACTATAAATTGGCAATTAAGCCTATCACCGCAAAAATTTTGACAAAAACAAGAACTAGCTACAAATTAAAGTCCAAATATAAGTAAAATACATCAACAATTTACTCTGTTGCCTTTCCACAACGACATATGTCGGAATAGGTGCTTCGCTGATACCAACTAAAAAATGATCTGTAATTATATCAAACTATAAAATTATTACACACTCTCACTTCTGTAAAATACAAAAGAAAAGAAAAAAAAAACAACTAATTATTGACGCTCAGCTCCGCAAGTGAGAGGAAAATTATTTAGAAAGAGACAACGGACAGGAACAAATATTATACCTCAATAAAAGAAATAAATTAAAACATAGAGGAAGATGAGTGTGTGACAAATTAAGTTCTCAACTTAATACAAAACCAAAAGAAAAAATTGAAATTAAAATCAACAATAAAATTTAAAGTTTAGCTTTTAGTAAGAGCCGTGTAAGTGCAGTTAAAAAATTTTAGGCGAGCCACTCACAAGCCCATTAACGAACTGAATAACTTGAAACACACAATTCTCAAGCCTAAACTTACAACATTCGCTGTCACTGGTAGTGCACGAAGTAAAAGTTGTTCCACCATCTATATAGCAACAGTAAGTCAAGTTTTCAAAATTAAAAACGCTGAAAGCCAACAAAAGCTAAGTTGTCGACTTACGGTCATTGTCGGTGAATTCGTTCAGTTTTTCAGTACTTTTCACAAAAGGGAACTTGCGAGAAAAGGACAGTTGCGAACGCGAACCTCGACGACCATCCATTCCAGAATTGCGACCCAAACTTTGGCTACCAGCGTTGAAATTGACCTTAAAATTATTAAAATTTCCTTCAAAGAAACACTGATTTTTTATGCAGCATATCAAGTAACACCTGTACAAAAACAGCTCAATTAGATTCATAGGTCAAACCTGCTTTCTCCTTTGTCGCTCCTTCTTCTCTACTCTCTTCTTCGACGGTATTAATCCTTCCCTCCCTTCTTCACCATTTTCGTTAACTAGTCTTGCTTGCCACCAGTCATCATCTGTGGAGCTCAAAACGTGAAGTATGTCACCATAACTGAACGTTAAAGTACGATTGGGAACACCGGCGTCACGAGCAGGATCATAATCGAATAACGACCTAAAATCACCCAAAGCTACACCTTACCGTTTCTTCTAAGCATTTGACGAGAAAAATACAAATTAATTAAGCTGAATTAATCAAACTGTTACTTGACATAAAGTTCGCGTCTGGCAACTCCACCCACAGGCACAGCGCCAGCGTTCATCATCTCTCTACGAAGCTGTTCAATCTTAGCTTCGAATTCAGCATATTCTAAAAGCGTGAGTTGCAAAATTTAAAACAGTGCTTGTTTACCAAAAACTGCACAAGAATGGGAGCCAAATGTTGAAGGTAACCTTGAGGTCGATATTGCAACGTGAGAGTTACGGGATTTAACGCTTCTTTTAATGCTTGCGCTGCTTCACCATGATTTGCATTTTTCAAGTTGACTCCGTTTACTTGTAATAACACATCACCCTAAAACAATCCATCATCAAACATCAAAAATCCTAGGAATATTTTTGGGAAGTAAATACTGAAAAGTAGATTTATGAGAATTTATATAGTACTTACTTTCCTAACATTTCCAGAGAGATCTGCAACACCACCTGGCAAAACGTAACTAATATATATTGGTTCTCCTTCTTCACCACCAACTATATTAAATCCTAAACCCTGCATTCCTTTGTTCAAGGCTACAGTACGAGGCACAAGGGGAGGTTCTTGTGGTGCTCCTGCCTGGTACGAAACTGGTGTACGCGCGCCAAGAGATTCACGGCTAAGTGACGCCCCAGCTAAATATATTTTTGAAAATATGAATCCTGAGAACCTTAGATTCCTCACAAATTATGATTCAATCTGCATACAAAAACCCCTCACCTGGCTGGTGAAAAGATGTAGTACCAAGAGAGGGTGTAGTGTCATCCAGTGTTGTGGTTACAGGGAGAATTTCTGGATGGGGGTTCTTCAAATATAGTAAAGTGACTTTGTTTGACGTATTCTTCAAAGTTTCAACAGCAAAGTCGTGTATTACATTCTCTAGAGAAGTGTCATCAACCTAAAAGTTACTAGTTGAAAGAAAAAAATACATAAAAAACTTTAAGAAAATGTGAACCAAATATACCAGATAGAACAACTTACTGCGAGAAGCTTGTCGCCGACTTGCAGACGACCATCTTGATAGGCCGCACCTCCTTCGATAATTTTTGTAACATAAATCCCTGTATCGCCAGCAATATGTTCATTGTTTACCCCACCAGCAATGCTGAAGCCAAGTCCCTTTTGTCTCTGAAAAAATTATCTTCCTGTTCATCTAATAATTTTCAAACAGTTGAAGAACCCACGAGCTTTGGGAAAAAAATTAATAGCAATGTTCCACCTTATACAGTTCAATCTTTTGAGCACCAGGAATTCTTTCAAGTCTTTCTATTTCTCTAGAACGCTGAACTGGAATATTGGTATATGACGAATGCGACGGAGGGGCTGGCGGTGCATAGGGTGGTGCAGCTGGCGAACTGTGGTCCAGCGGCGAAAGGTGACTCCCAGACTGGTAAGGCGAAATGCCACTAGAAGACCGCTTCAATTTTCGGCGTTTCAACACCTAAATAAATTTAGCGCTTTTACTTGTAATTCCCATCTTCCATACTTTTCCTTTGATTTTCCACTTAATCGAGAAAATACCACAAGCAACAACAACTTACTAGACGAACAACATTGCCAGCAGTTTTTAGAGCGTCCACGGTGACAGCATGTGGCACTCTCGAGCAGTCAGTTGTATTAACCTTCATAATAATGTCATTTTGTCTGAAATATAGAATACAACTGGCCTAAAGCAGTCAAAAAGTCAATGACTTCATTAAATTACTGCCAAACTAAAAACAACTATACCTCATACGACCATCAGCTGCAGCAGCACCACCAGGTATGATGGCGGTGACATAGATAGATGGATCTCCATCTGCCATTGGCTGATCAAGACCTCCAGCAATACTAAAGCCAAGGCCAGTGTTGCCTTTCTCCAGTACAACCTCTTCCAACTCCCACTCTGTACCATCGCTGTCAATCAGAGAGTCTCGCTGATAAATAAATTTTACTAAACCAATTAAACTAAAGATTAACGCCTAATTAAGCTTCCTATATGTTAATGCGACAACTCGAGCTACGTGACTTTCATTACTTATAGAGTTGACGAATTAATATTACAATACTTAAATACTTCAGAAAAAAATCACGTTTCTCCTGTTTGAGTCATAGAAACTTTATGTATATGAAGACTGAATGCTTCAGTATAACTATAAAAACTTAATTACAGATCTGAAAATAACTTTTAAATCTTATTGAAATTTATTATTTCTTCCTCACAGCTGTCAACTTAAACCATATATCGCTCAAAAAACGTTTATCATACTGCACTAAATTAAAATATTGAGCACAACAAAATGCGCTGAAATGTTTTAGCACTTCTCCTCAGTATTTCTTTTTTCTTGAGTTTCTAATTATACTAAAAATTTTGACACTTGAGAGAGAACAGTCAAATTAACCAAAAAATGAATAAAATTGCTCGAAAAGTCCATAATACAACCGTCCGTTCACAACCTAAGTCGCTTAGTTGTGTACAGTTATAGCTGATACAAATAACTACTATACAAACATGAAGAAGAAAATGCGTGCTATTTCAGTAGGTACGAAAAACAATAACTTCCAAGCGGCCTTGGGAAGCAACAGGAATTCAGAAACATTGTTGAAAAACTTATGTTCTGAAATGACAACCAAAAATGCTCAACAATTTTCTCTTCTTCATATCTCTGAAAGTCAATCAAAAATTGATTAATTACCACTGCCCTATTAAAAGAGGAGTAACTCCTAAATTTATGACCCCAACATTTCAAACTGCTAATATTAAGGTTCAAATACAGTCAGATTTCTTACAAATAAATGCATTGTTGGTTAACGCAAATGTCTGCAAACAGTTTTAAGTAGTTGATTCCTTCTAACAATACAACAGCAAAAAGATGATCAATTATTTCACCGTTTATATTGCCAAA